AACATCAGATGGTGCCTTGCGTGTTTTGCACATCTGCAGTCAGAGCCCCGTGCTCACCATCATCCTGTTTCTGAACTTCTGTTTGGAAATAAAGCTCACGTAGTTGTGAGGAGCTTCTTTAAAACATTAAGCACCTGCAAATTATAACATCCTACATGTGCAACTGGAAAATAAGTTGCAACTTACACACTTCTTTGAGAAGCCTAGAGATGGTAACATAAATACCTGTTCATTTAGGAGCCCTGCACCCAACACAAAACAGGAGTGTAAACGCTTCATTTTCCTTGTTAGGCTTAAAGTTGGGGCTTGACATAACCACATAATGCAGGGATCAGCATCCACCAGCTGTGCTAATTGAGCCATTCCATGAACCCAAGACACATCACTTTGGGCAGATGTAAATGAGATACTCTCATTAACAGCTGAAACTACCATTTAGAAAGACATTATGCAACTTTCCTGATGGCTGAAACACCTGTGGAAGAGAACACAACCAAGCTGTTCAGGGCCCAGCTGGGGTCAAGGATGAGACAGAATACAGGAGATTAATTTCTTTCTTAGTCCCTGAGGAAACCTTTCAAGGTCCTTGTCCAGATGCAGTAGGCAGCTTTGTCAGCTAAAGAAATGACAGCTGAAATGAGATACTTGGGAAAGGAAAATTAGTCACTAAAACATCATTAAGGGACTCTTTTATTCTATCTTTAAACCCAGATTAGTTGTTTGCTTAAAAGACGTGCCCCATAATTCAGCTAAATGAAGGAATCCTTGTAAGAGAGGTCAGACGAGGGAGAGAAGGATACAAGTTTCTCAAGGCTTTGCAATGTCTGAGCTCCAAGGCAGTGTATGGGCTGTGAGTCCTAGCGGCCTTTGCTAGAAATAAAGGCTTTAGAAGATAAAAGGAGAACAAAACATGTTTCCAGATTGAGTGCAAGACATTTCAGCCCGAAGGGGAACTGAGGAGGAAAGATTTTGAATATTCAGCCATCTCACTCTACAAAGCATCCCAGTGTCAGGGCACCATGCTGATTTCTATGGACCAAAGTCACGTACGCTCCAACTTCTGCCTGGGGGCTGAATGGTTGGATCCCTCTGGTTGCGTGGATGCAGCACATCCAGCTCCTACCTATGGTGCAGAATTCTATATGGATGGTAAAGATGGAGCAGGAAGAGCCCTTGTTCATCACAGCGTTCCTCCGGTCTGCCTCCACAATCTGCTCACTCTGCACCACGCTGTGCGCAGGCTGCAGGGAAAGCCCCTCCACGCACAGCACCTTTCCAGGTGTGCCTTCAGCTGCAAGCAGGGACAGCACAACACAGGACAGGAGGGGGAGCAAGGCTGCAGAAGGGTGTGCAGAGGGCTGCCCACCAGCTTTCAGACCACACAAAAAGAGGGAACCACCTTTACAGCCAAAAAGAGTGAAGGTTATGAATTTGCTGATGGATTCAGCCATCTCCCAGGACACAAGCAACCCAACTTCTCTGCACTGAGCTGCCTTCTACCTCCTCTATTATTAAGCAGCATATTTTAAGATGAACAGAAATGTTTTTCACCTATTATGGCAAAGTCTCTAATATATATCATCAGTCATAGGGAGCTTTTTAAAACCAAAGCACCGATTCAGTAATCAGATATTGTTACTGATGCTGTACTGAACCCCTCTGTTCTGAGAGGGCGCCTGATTCGCACCAACGCAGTTCCCCAAATCACACCATCGCACACAGGCAGACTACATATTTTTTTTCCTCCAGATGAGTTCATTTATCCGATGCTCTAAAATCACATCCAGGCACCTGGGCAGTGTTAAATGACTAATGGCATCTTTTCAAAACCATCAAAGGAATCACTAAATCGTGCAGAAGAAAACACGCAGCACACTGAGAAATGATTGAGGTGTTCAAAGTATCGAACAGTCCATCAAACCCACATTTAAAAAAAACCAAAAACACAAAATAACTGAGAACAGTGCACTCCCACATGAGCTCCTTCTGAAAATCCATCCACGCTGGGAATTTTAAATGAGAGGAATTCATTTGCACCAGCTGTGTTACACCCCACATCCGCTGAGCTCCTAACCAAAACCTGATGGTGCCAGCAGGGATCATCAGGGATGCGATAGATCATAGCATGGTTTGAGTTGGAAGGGACCTGTAAAGGCCACCTGGCCCAACTCCCCAGCAGCAATCAGGGACACCCACAGCTCCTTTGGGTGCTCAGAGCACAGATACTGCCTTTGGGGGTGTGAGCTCTGAACACCTCGAGATGTTTTGGTGACGCTACAGGAAGGGATGTAAAAAAAAAATCGAGGCAAAATGGAGCAAATCCTTCTGAAAACTGAACTCAGCAGGATGTTATCCTTGTTTATGTCACTGCAAAGCCGTGCCTGCCCTGAATTAACCCAGTTCAGAACCACAGCCAGGTTGGTTGCACACCATGACTTCTGACTGCACTACAGGAGAACTGGCACAGCTGCACTCCAGGGTGCCACAGAGGCCTTTCCAGGGCTGTCTACAGCCTGGCCACGCCGTGCTCCTACCAGAGCTCCTACTACCTGCTCTTCTGTCAAAGGACTTCGTTCCACAGCTGGCAGCTGAGTCTCGGGGCTTCAGACTGTACAAAATCACTGATGTTAAAAGGCAAGGAAACAAAGACACGGGATTTCAGAGGAGATTAGCAGGCTCTGGGACTCAGAAGAAAGCTGTGGGTCAGCCAAGGCCTTCTGCCTCCACAGGACACGGCTGGACTCCTTGCTAGAGGAAGCAGTGAGGCTGGTGGCTGTCCCCACAGCGCTGGTGTTTCCCTGGAAACCGCTGTGCCCAAGTCCTGCCCTCCTGGTGCCAACTGCAGTCGTCATGGAAACCTGTGTCACTGCTGATGGGGAACAAAGAATGGGGATTTGCAGCAAGCGTGGTCTAAATCAGCACCGAGCCCCTTTTCTGCCTTCTCTCTCCCAATGTAAGCATGCTTGGAAAGCAAAGCAGGGCGCTGCTTGCAAGAGGATTTGGCTTCATGAAGGCAGGAGCCCATGTAGCACCGCCTCCAGGCTGCAGGCACTGCAGGTCCCTTCCAGTGCAGCGCTTCCATGCCCCACATGTGCTGCCGCTGCGGCTTTCCCTCGCAGGTGGGCCTGCAGGGGAGCAAACTGGGGCAGAAGATTTGCAGGTGCCCCTAGGAATACATGCAAAAAGATCTGCGAAGACTCTAAGAGGGGCCTTTTGTAGAGGTCTGCCACTTGGTTGGGATTTCAGTGCATTTTTTCCTCCGGCCTTCCTGGCTTCAGCTCCAACATGTGCTTGATATCGGCTCCTAGAAGGTCTCATATGTCCTCACTGTAAATCTCCAGGCAGGAAGCTCTCACCAAGAATCTGATGGTTTCAGCACGCTGTACAAAACAGGAATGAATTCAGGAGGAGGTTCACAGCATGAAGGCAAGCAGGCAGCCCGCAGAGTGCCAGCTGGGCACCCACCTCCCTGCTGCACCTCCTCACACCTCCCATTGCATTTCATGCTCGGGTATGACTACCGAACACATTTGCTTCCAGGCCTTAAATATCTCAGGCATGCAGGACTGTATTTCTGTAGGGTTCTATGACAGAGCCAGTACTGAGGTGACTGAAATGCTGCGCTCAGTTAAATCGGCACCCTGCTCCGAGTACAGACATCATGGTACTTTGCAACACCTGACACTGCAGCTCTGCTGGAACGAAATCTACCCTGATGGTCACACAGCACAGTTTTACCAGCAGTGCAGCTGAGATGGGAGAAGTTACTTCTAGAAGTGAAAAACAGACAAATGGCAGCAATTCACTGAGAATCCAAAGTCTGTCCCCATCCTCTCTCCCAAGTGCACTCCTTCTTTGGGGCGTGCCGTCTGCCTGCTGCTCCCCTGATGTGTTTAGGGTTAAAAACAGTGCTTTGGTTAAAGCACTGAACTGAAATGATAATACCATCACAGCTCTCTGACAACTGCAATTTTGGGAGAAAAGAACAGAACAGTGTGGATATTACTCCTTCATTTCCCAGAAGGGCTGCCAGCATAAATGCTTCAATTCCTACAGATCAGGGAGCATTATGCTGTAGAAGGTGCAGAAATTGTCTTTGTAGGTACCGCACGACGTTACAACAGGATCTCTTCCACATTATCACACACCTGTGTGCTCTCAAAAACGCGTTCCAGTGAGAAAAATAAAATAAACCAACTACAGAACGGCCTGCAGGTGGGTGGTGAAAACTGCAGGTGCAGCTGACAGTGCTGAAGGCCGGGACGGTTTTGCCATAGGGCAGGAAATCTTCAGGAATATGGATTCAAGCAGGATGCCAGCTGAGTGCAGAGCCAGCAGCAAGCAGGCATCATTGCCGTTCATTCCTGTTTTGGAGAGCCACGGCAGGAACAGAAGGCATCTGGGACTTCCATCTTACACCTATCACCGGCCATTCTGTCCTTGTAGCTTCTGCTAACAGCAGAAGTTGGGTTGACCTGTTGGTTTTCAGTGGTTGTGTTTGGTTGGGGTTTTCTGGGCTGCTTTTCCCCTCCCAGCCGCTCACCTGCTGACACACCAGCAGGCACCGCGCATCCCCTCGCAGCTTCTGCTTCGCTTCTCCAGCAGGAAGAGATTTCCCACCTCCTCCAAGGCGTCCCGCTGGGCCGCACGAACAGCCCGACGCCCTCAGCAGCGCTGCGGGTCACCCTTCTCCTCAACCTCGTTCCCGTGCCGGAAAAGCAGAGCCCTGCTAGCCCCATCTCTCGGCTCTCCGTCCCGGCTCAGCCCTGCACCGCTACAGCACACCCCCCTCTCTACTTAAACCCCCGTGGTTTCGGACGCCGCTACCCACGGCCCGCCGAGGCCCGGTCAGCAGGACCGCCGCTTGAGGCCCCGCCCCGCGGGTCACGTGCCGCAGAGGGCGCGCGCGGGAAGAAGGGAGAACGTGCGGCGTGGTGTGCGCGTGCGTGGAGCCGCGCGGAGGGGAAGAGGGGAAAGGAGCTGTGCGCGGTGCGGTCGCGTGAGCGCGGGGCTGCAGCTGGACGGATGCAAGGAGGAGTCCGGAGCAGCGCGGTTGCGCAAAGCTGTTTATTCGCGGGGTGGCCGTGGGGCTCCGTGCGGTCGGAGCTGCGGTCGGCTCTAACCGCGCTCGTGCTGCACCAGGGCCGGGCTGTCTTCGTCCCGCTGCTCGTAGCCGGGGTTGCGGCGCCCCACGCTCAGGCGGCAGAAGCAGCCCCCGGGTACTGCCGAGTAGTGCGCGAGCAGCGCCGGCATGGAGCAGAATTCGGCGTGGGAGTGCTGCAGGAGAGAGGCGCCGGTGTGCCGGTGCACCGATGCGTGCTTGCACTGTGCAACCAGGAAGGGAATCACCAGTGCTCCGTGCACTTGTGCTCTAAAGAAATGCGCTGAAGCACAGTGTGCCCCTGCGTTCACGCACCCCGATGCCCTGAAGGACCAGCGAACCACACACCCACCCATCTTGCACCAGTCCAGCTTGGAAACAAAAGCGCTCGTGCACCTACGTGTGAATTCCTCATGCATGCGCACCCTCGTGCACCCACACACCGGTGTGACGCAGCACACTGCATTGGTGCATCCATGCAGTTGGTGCACAGGTGGGTGCAGGTGCACAACAACGTGTTCACACCGGTGCATGTATGCGCGCAGGGAGCTGGTGGAGTCTCCTCTGGAGATGTTCCACACCCGCCCGGACGCCTGCTTGTGCGACCTGCTGTGGGGAACTGCTTTGGCAGGGAGCTGGACTCGACGATCTCTGGAGGCCCCTACGGTTCCGTGGTCCCTATGCACACACGCACCCGTCCACGAACGCATCCGTGCGTGCATCCCCGACCCGCACACCGACAGCACGCAGCACCCTCACCTCCACGCAGAAGCGGCCCTGCCGCGTCCGCAGCACGCAGTACGGCACGACTCCGCAGGGCGCGCGCACCCACAGGCACCAGCGCGGGGCGCCGCCGGGCTCGGCGCGCAGCAGGAAGGCTCCCGGCGCGTCTCCGCGCAGCAGCGCCACGCCGCCGGCCCTGCGGGGACGCGCGGATGGGTGCGGGGCCGGCCGGGGGCTGCGGGGCGGGGTGGCGAGCGCTCACCTGGCGATGCCGGCGAAGGCCCACACGCTCTCGGCGAGGGCGGCCTCGGTGTCAGGGAGCAGCGCCAGGCCTCGCGTGCTTCTGCTCTCCCATCCCGACGGGGCTGGGGGAGGTGGGGTGGGTGCCCGGCCCCAAACCCCCTCCTCACCCCCCAGGATTTCTCTTTGAGCCCAAATCCCATCCCTGGCCCCTCACCGACACCAAATGTGACCCCAGATCCCGTCCTCCCCACCGAAGCCTCTCCTGATCCCAAATATCCTCCTTGACCTCGAAACCTTCCTGTGACACCCAAATCCTCTCCTCGATCTCAAATCCCCTCCTTGACCCCAAATTCCCCTTGACGACCTCATATCCCTTCATCGATCCCCAAATCCTCTCTTTACTCCAAAATCCTATCCCCAAATCCTCACCCCAAATCCCCTTACCAGCCCCAAATCCCCTCCTTGGCCCCAAAATCCTCTCTTTGAGTCCCAAATCCCATTCCTACACCCCCAATCCCCTCATCCCCCCAAGTTTCTTCTTCAGCCCTAAATCCTCTCCCTCACCCCCAAAATACTCTCTTCAACCCCAGATCTCTTTGACCCCCAAATCGCATCCTTGACATCACATCCCCTCCTTGATCCCAGATCTCCTACGTGACATCAAAACCTTTCTCTGACCCCAAAATCATTTCCTCTTTGAACCCGAAATCCCCTCCTTGGCACCCAAATCCTCACAGTAATCCCTATTTCCTATCATTCACACCAAATCCCCTCCTTGTCTCCCTCTTTTTGACCTTAAATCCCCTGCTTGACCCCCAAATCCTCTCATTCAACCCCAAATCCTATCCTTCATGCCAAATCCTCGCATTGGCTCCAAAACCCTCTTTGACCCCAAATCCTTTCTGACTTCAAAATCCTATCCTCATCCCAAATCGCCTCTTCTTGATCCCAAATCTCATCTTTGACCCTGAATTCCCTCAACAACCCCAAATCCCCTTGTTGACACCCAAATCCTCTCAATGACCCCAAATCCCCTTGTTAGCCTCCAAATCCTCTATCTGATCCCCCAAATCCTCAACCTCTGACCCCTTCTGACCCCAGAATCCCCTCAAATGACTCCAGATCCTCAACCCGCAACCCCAAATCCCTTCTCTGACTCCAAAATCCCCTCCTTGATCCCAAATCCTCTCCTGAACCCCAAAATCCCCTTCCTGATCCGCCAGAATCCCACCTTGACCCCAAACCCCCTCAGTGGCCCCACAATACCCTCCTTGAGCCCCAAATCCCCATCTTGACTCCTAATGCCCTCAATGGCCCCACAATCCCCTCCTTAACCTCCAAATCCTCTCTTTGACCCCCTAAATCCTCTCCTCAATCTCAAGTCCCCTCTCTGACCCTGAAATCCCCATCTTGACCCCAAATTCCCTCAATGGCTCCGCAATCTCCTCCCTGACCCCCAAGTCCCCTCAAATGTCCCGAATCCCTCATTAGCCCCCCAATCCTCTCTTTGATCCCCCAAATCTTCAATTTCTAACCCCTCTCTGATGCTAGAATCCTCTCAAACATCCTCAAATCCTCTTCTCAAGCCACAGTTCCCTCTCTGACCCCAAATCCCTTCACTGACCCCAAGGTTTCCTCCTCGACCCCCAAATCATCCCTTTGACTCCCAAAGTCCTCTCCTCCACCCAAATTCCTTCTCTGACCCTAAATCCCCTCAATGGCCCCGCAATCCCCTCTTTGACCCCCAAATCCTCTCCTCGGTCCCAAATACCCCGTCTGTCCCCAAGATCCCTTCCTTGATGCCAAATCCCCTCTTTGACCCCAGATCATCTCTTTGACCCTTCCGAAGCCCTTGCCTCCACCCAAACCCCCCTCTGACCCTCAAACTGCCCTTTGACCCCAGCCCCCTCCCCCTCCCCCCCCCCCCCCCCCCCCCCCACCCTCTCTGTGCTGCAGTTGACTCTCAGCCCCGCAGTCTCGGTAGGCACCCGAGCGCAGCACTTTGCTGCGGATCGCCTTTTTGCGCACCAGCACTGGGGAGCAGTACGGGTTCCCTGGGTGCCAACCCGCAGCGCGGCCCTCGGCCTCCACCCGTCTCTCTTGGAGCAGATGCTGTGCAAAGACGTGCTGTGGAAATAGGCTGAGAGTTAAAGATGGAGCAAGGAAAGGCCGTGTGAGGTAGGGCCATGGAGTGTGCTGTGCAAAAGTGCTGTGCAAAAGTGCTGTGCAAAAAGTGCTGTGCAAGAAGT